GCAACCTCTGCCTGCTGGGTTCAAGCAATTCTTCTGCCTCAGCCTCCCAAATAACTGGGATTGCCACACACCACCAAGCCTGACTAATTTTTGTATTTTTAGTAGAGACAGGTTTCACCATGTTGGCCAGGCTGGTCTCAAACTCCTGACCTCAGCTGATCCTCCCATCTCGGCCTGCCAAAGTGCTGGGATTAGAGGCATGAGTCACCATGCCCAGCCTTATATATTCTTATATTATATAAGAGTTAAACATTTCTAATTTGTACATTTTGTCTTTTCTGTTAAACTGCAATAAAATTGATGATGAAAACAGCCACTAAAGTTTCAAAAGAAACTCTTATCAAAATTCTTCCTTTGACCGATGATCAATAGTTTTTTAAAAATCTCGCACACATTCCACCTGTGTGGAAGAAAACCCAGTCAGATGTCTTCTATATTTTGGCATAGACATCTGGAGAACCGACCAGCATGAACAGGAAGGAGTTGGCTTACCGACTTAGCCAGGATAAGCGCATCGCTCATGAGGTCCAGCAGGGGTGTCTCTGTGTGGATGTTGTAGAATGAGTAGGCGGCCTTGAGGCTCTTGTGAGCAGGGTGATGCATGACCGTCGAGGGGAGCGTGTAGAAGCTCAGGAAGTCAGTCAGTTTACCACTGGGGCTCTAGAAGCAAAGGTGCTGTCAGGCAGAGATCTCCTTGAACCAAGCACATTTCTGCTAACTCTGATCTCTCCCTTGTCCCATAACCTTCTCTTAGAACGCAAAGCAACAAGTCATCCTTCTTTCTCGGCAGTCCAATTTGGGTCCCCTTATATTATGCTGGGTAGAGGCCAAGAAGAGCCTGGAGTTGGAACATCAGCCTAAGTGCCTGTCGGTGATTTGCACAAAGTTCTCAGGAAATAGAACGTCCTACAAGGAAAGCTTCCCTCAGGCTGACACATGAGTCAATTCTCTAGACTCAGGGAACAGTGATAAAAGCAGATTCATTGTTTTTGTAGAAATAAGAGCTTTAAGGATTAGACGGCTGCCTTCTCCAACTGACAGATACTGTGTACTATCTCACACTTTCTTAGCATATGGCAAGAATTATATCAGGCTTAAGTGCGGTTGGGTAGAGTCTGGAAGCTATTTGGAAGCCTGTGAAAGGTCTTATTCTTGCATCAAAATATACACATGTGAATAACTGGAGAATTTTGTAGCAATTGGTCCGGGCACGGTGGCTCACGCCTGTAATTCCAGCACTTTGGGATGCCGAGAAGGGCAGATCACGAGGTCAGCAGATCGAGACCATCCTGGCTAAGATGGTGAAATCCCATCTCTACTAAAAATACAAAAAATTAGCCGAGCATGGTGGCGAGCACCTATAATCCCGGCTACTCAGGAGTCTGAGGCAGGAGAATTGCTTGAATCCAAGAGGCAAGGGTTGTGGTGAGCTAAGGTGGCGCCACTGCACTCCAGCCTGGGTGACAGAGTGAGACTCCATCTCAAAAAAAAAAAAAAAAAAAGAATTTTGCAGCTATCAAAAATAAGGGGTGCGATCTCATTCATTTCATCATCACTGGCAAACCTTCCAATACAATAAATTAGCCAGTATTGTTCAGGTTGTTGTACTTAGCTGTGGTGGCCTTGCTGACTTTTAGAATATGATATGTTTGAATTACACAGCTGAGGAGGCTGGACCACACACATGCCATTGCTAGTATTTCTTGCAGCGGAAAAGGAAATTCCAGAAGGATGTATGGTCTGGTTTTCAAATGCTTCTGAGTCATCAGATCTTTCATTAGCCAGCAAAAACTTAAAGGGATTAATCTATAGAGATTCCTATTGCTCTGTATTAGCAGCTCAATATTGGAGATGAATTCAACCTTCCAGGTTAATACGGATTTTAGATTCTTCTAAGAATTTCTCACATCCGTCTCATACGCTGAGTTACTACAGGCACCTGCAGAACCTGATTAGCTTCCCCACCCCTTTTTCATCTTCTGCTTTCAGAAAACTACTCCTTCACATTCATATTGCTGGTAAAATTACTCTTTCCTCCTTTGCTGTTAAAATGGTCTGAGAATTACCAACTGCTGAGGAAGAGTGGGATGATCTTTCCATTGTCCCTCAAACCCCATCAACTGTAAAGACTGATTTTAAAAAACACACTCACAAAAAACCCCAACATGGCACCATGTCTAGGTGGCTAACAGGTAACTTCTAACAACTTTCAAGAAACAAGTAATCCTTATATTACATACATTGTTCCAGAGAAAAGAGAGGATAAGCTCTTTAACTCATTCTAAGTTTGGTATCGAAATAGGACAAGGACAGGGTAAGAAGGGGAAATTAATGGCCAACCTCAGTTGTGAGTACAGAGGAAGATCCTCAATAAAATATTAGCAAACTAGTGCTGGGCGTGGTGCCTCAGCCTGTAATCCCAGCACTTTGGGAGGCCGAGGAGGGTGAATTTTCTGAGCTCAGAAGTTCGAGACCAACCTGGCCAACATGGTGAAAGCCCACTGCTACTAAAATACACAAAATTGGCAGGGCGTGGTGGTAGGCGCCTGTAGTTCCAGCTACTTGGGAGGCTGAGGCTCAAGAATTGCTTGAACCTAAGAGGCAGAGGTTGCAGTGAGCTGAGATCATGCCACTGCACTCCAGCCTGGGCAACAGAGCAAGACTCTGTCTCCAAAAAACATTTAAAAAAAATTAGCAAACTAAATCTAAAAACAGAGGCAGTCTCATACAAATAGAAACCCAAAAATGTGTCACTAGCAGACATACCCTTGAGACTGGCTAAAGGAATTTCTTCAAATAGAAAGGAAATAATGAAAGAAGGAATCCTGAAGCATCAGGAAGGAAGGAAGAATAACAGAGCAGAAATCTGGGTTACACATAGTAAATTATGCTTATCCTCAAGCATCGCTATAAATCAGTGTTACAAATCATACTCGATGATTAAAACCAAAATCATACTACTGTCTGATGTTTAAGACAATATTTGAAAGTGGAAAAGGTAAAGTAACCTAAATAAAAGTAAGGTGACTCAAAGTAATAAATAGTGTTACCCACAGACTATGGTAAGTCACACATATATATTGTAATACATCAACCATCATGAAAACTATACAAATACACTGAAATGCACTATAATTAAAACAGAATCCTAAAATACATTCAAATAACCCACAGCAAGGCAAGAAAAAAGAAACAGAGGCTGGGTGCGGTGGCTCAGGCCTGTAATCCCACCACTTTGGGAGGCCGAGGCAGGTGGATCATGAGGTCAAAAGATTGAGACCATCCTGGCCAAAACGGTGAAACCCCATCTCTACTAAAAATACAAAAATTAGCTGGGTGGAGTAGCGCATGCCTGTAGTCCCAGCTACTCGGGAGGCTGAGGCAAGAGAATTGCTTGAACCCAAGAGGCGGAGGTTAGAGTGAGCCGAGATGGTGCCATTGCATTCCAGCCTGGTAACAGAGTGAGGTTCTGTCTCAAAAAGAAAAAAAGAAACAAAGGGCCAGGTGTGGTGGCTTATGCTTGCAATCCCAGCACTTTGAGAGGCCGAGGTGGGCAGATCATGAGGTTAAGAGATCAAGACCATCCTAGCCAACATGGTGAAACCCGGTCTCTACCAAAAGGACAAAAATTAGCTGGGTGTGGTGGTGCGCACCTGTAGTCCCAACTACTCGGGAGGCTGAAACATGAGAACTGCTTGAACCCAGGAGGCAGAGGTTGCAGCGAGCTGAGACAGCGTTACTGCACTCCAGCCTGGCGATAGAGCAACACTCTGTCTCAATAAAAAACAAACAAACAAACAAACAAAAAAAACAGGAACAAGGACCAGAAGAAACATAAACCAAATAATCAAATCACAGACTTAAGCTCTAACATACCAATAATGACCTTAAATGTAAGTGGTCTAAATATACCAATCAAAAGGAAGATCGGTAGCATGAGAAAAGAAACACGACCCAGCTACAGGCTGTTTCCAAGAAACTCACTTCAAATTCAGTAACATGAATAGTTTGAAAGCAAAAGGATGGAAAACGACCAAACATTAATTTTTAAAAAGCGGGTCTGATTGTAGTAATATACAATCAAGTATACTCCAGAGCAAGGAAAATTATTACAAAGAGAGGTATTACATTATGATAAAAAGATCAATCCACTAGGGAGACATAAAGACCCTAAATATACATGTGAGTATCAAACAACAGCCCCAAAAGACATCAAGAAAAATTGACAAATTGACAGTTACTGTTGTGGATTTCCACGCCCCTCTCATCAAGTGATAGAACTGCTAACAGAAAATCAGCATGGAAATAGAAAAGCTGAATAACTCAATTAATCAACGTGGTCCAGTTGGCATACATAGCACAAGCCACCCAACAGTAGTGGTATACACGTTTCACACACCCACGGAATATTCATCAAGACAGACCATATCCCAAGTAAGCATAATCGAATCAAACTAGAAATCTGTAATTGAGAGACAACAGAAAATCTCTGTTGAACAGTGCAATTCTAAGTAGGGGTAGACTAAAAAGGAAGTCTCAAAGGAAACCAAAAAGTACATACAAGTGAATTAAAATGAAATACAACATACCAAACTATCTCAGAAACAGCTAACACAGCAAGGCAAGTGCAGAGGGAAATTTATAGAACTAAATGCTTACTAGTGACAAGGAAAGGTCTCAAGTCAGTAAGTCCCTCCCTCAAGGAACTAGAAAAGAAGAGCAAAATAAACCCGAAGGAAGGAAATAATAAACACAAGGATAGAAATCAATGACACTGAAAATAAAAACACAACAGGGAATATCCAACGAAAGTCTGGTCCTCTGGGAAACAAATCAATAAAATGACACAAGTCTAGCAAGATTGACAAAAATAAAGAAAGAGAAGACATGAATCACCAATACCTGGGATGAAACAAGAGATATCAGTACAGATTTCACAGCCACTAAAAGGATAAGAAGACAATACAATCAACAGCTTAACACTCATACATTCAGCAATTTAGAAGAAATGGACAAAATCCTCAAAGACTATTAAAACTCGACCACAGTGAAACAGATCATCTGAATAGTGCTATAACCATTAAAGACATTTAGTCCATTATTTAAAAACTCCAGCCAAGCTCAGATCATTTCAACTGGAGAATTCTACCAAAGAATTAACACCAATTCTCAATTTCTTCCAGAAAATAGAAGAGGAAATAATACTTCCCAACTCCTATTATGAGACCAGTATTATCTAGATATCTAAACCAGACAAGGACATTACAAAAAGATGCTCCAGATAGGTAGCTCTCATGAACTCAACAAATACTCTTCCAAATATTAGCAGTCAGTACAACAATGTATAAAAAGAATCATACACCCCGACCAAGTGGATTTTTTTCTAGGAGTCTAAGAGTGATCCAACATCTGAAAATCAATCAATGTAATCTACCATAGCAACAGATTAAAGGAGAAAAATCATATGATTACATCAATTGGAGCATTGGACAAAATCCAATCCCCATTCATAAGAACTCTCAGCAAGTTAGAAACAGAGGAGAATGACCTGAAATTGATTAGGAGCACCCACAGAAAACTTATAGCTAACATCATACCTCATGGTGAAACAGTGGATGCTTTCCTCCCACCATCAAGAACAAGATGAGGATGTCAACCTTCCCCACTCGTACTCAACAAAGCACTGGAAGATCTAGGTCCTGCATTAATGCAAGACCAATAAAGGCATAGAGATTGGAAAGGAAGCAATAAAACTGTCCCTATTTGCAGATGACACATTGTCTATGTAGAAATCCCAAGGAATCTACACATAAACTCCTGGAACCAATAAGTGATTTCAGCACTGTGGCAGGACACCAAAACACAGAAGAAAGCATGTCTACACGCTAACAATGAACATGCAGAAACTGAAATTAAAAATGCAATACCATTATTATCACCCCAAAGGAAGTGAAATACTTAGCTATACACTTAAGAAAACATTTACGGTATCTGGATGTCAGGTCTCCATATGCAAGCCTGGAGCCTGAAAGTCCGAAGTCCTGCTTGCCTCAGCTGAAGTCTCCTATCTGCTGTCTGTGTTCACCATTGTCCCTGCTCGCCCAGCGGAGCTTCCCCGGATAAGCCCCTCACCCAGCCCTGCCATCTTAACTGTTCTTATGATAATGTAAATACCTCTCACCCAACCCCACCACTGTAACTGAACGTACTCTGCAACACCCCCCCCCGCCTCCCAAAAACTACCCAAACCTATAAAACCAACTCCTATCCCACTGCCCTTTGCTAATGCCCTTTTCGGCCTTAGCCACCTGCACCCAGGTGAATAAACAGCCATGTTGCTCACACAAAGCCTGTCTGGGGGAGTCTCTTGATTCAAAGCATGCATTTTTCACACTGGATGCTCTTAGAGAATACTGATAAAAGAGATTTCAAAGACCGAAATAAATGTAGAGACATTCCTTGTTCATGGATTGGAAGACTTTTCAATTATCCTCAAATTCATCTATCAGTATAATGTAATCCCTATCAAAGTGCCAGCAAGGTATTCTGTAGACAAAAATAAGCTTATTCTAAAATGTATATGCAAAAGGCAAAGGAAATAGATTAAAGTGATGTTGACAAACAAGAATAAAGTGGGAGAAATTACCTGACACTAAGGCTTCCTATATAGCTATGGCAACCAGGTCAGTGAAGGGAGAGACATGGAGATCAATGAAATAGAACAGAGAACCCAGAAACAGAACACAATATAAAGCGTTAGTATTCAGCACATCAAAAACCTCTCACAGGCCAGGCATGGTGGCTTACACCTGTAATCCCAGCACTTTGGGAGGCAGAGGCAGGTGGATCATCTGAGGTTAGGAGTTCGAGACTAGCCTGACCAACCTGGTGAAACCCTGACTCTACTAAAAATACAAAAATTAGCTAGGTGTGGTGGCACATGCCTGTAATCCCAGCTACTCGGGAGGCTGAGGCATGAGAATTGCTTGAACCTGGGAGGCGGAGTTACAGTGAGCTGAGATTGCACCATTGCACTCAAGCCTGGGCAACAAGAGCAAAACTCCATCTCAAAAAAAAAAAAGCCTTTTACAAATCAGTAAGAAGACTGTGGTCACAAAGTAAATAGCAAATTCAGAAAAGAAATAAACATGGCTGGCAGATTTATGAGATACTCAAATTCATCAGTAATGAGGATAGCAATTAAAAACAAGACTTTGTTCCATACTCATCAGGTGGGCCTAAATTTAGAATGTGACCATACCCACGTGTTGTGAGGATGTGAGGAGACAGGAACTCTCTCATGCTCCTCAGGACCTACAGTGGTGAGCTATGTGGCAGCTTCTAATAACGTGAAAGACAGGTCTGACCACAGACTCAGCAGTTCCAATTCTATGTCCTGGGCAGCAGCTCTCAACATGTGGTCTGTGAACCCTGTGGAACCTGAGACTCTTTCAGAAATCTGTGAGGTCAAAATTATTTTCATAACACTAAGAAGTTGTGTGCCTTGTTGACGTGTTGCCATCAGCATCAAAGGCGCAAAAGCAATGCTGTGGGTAAAACTGCTGGTGCCTTAGCACGAAACAAGACAATGGCACCAGACTGTACCCGTGGTCACCTTATTCTTCAACACCACCCTAACAGTTCCACAAGTGTCATTTTCACTTAAGCACATCCTTGACAGAGTATTAAAAATTATTAATCTTATTAACTCTCAATCCCTTAGTACCCACCTTTGTTTTTTGTTTTGTTTTGTTTTTTTGAGAGGGAGTTTCACTCTTGTTGCCCAGGCTGGAGTGCAATGGCAAAATCTCGGCTCACTGCAGCCTCTGCCTCTGGGGTTCAAGCAATTCTTGTGCCTCAGCCTCCCAAGTAGCTGGAATTACAAGCGCATGCCACCATGCCTGGCTAATTTATGTATTTTTAATGGAGACGGGGCTTCACCACGTTGGCCAGGCTGGTCTCCAACTCCTAACCTCAGGTGATCCGCCCGCCTCGGCCTCCCAAAGTGCTCGGATTACAGGCATGAGCCACCACACCCGGCCTAGTATGCATCTCTGTAATGTTCTGTGATGAAATGGAAGGAAGTATGTGTAAATACTTCTGCCGCACACCGAACACAAAGGATGCTTGGAGGAGAAGTTTTATGTTTATCACCTTGTCTTTACCTCCACTACAAACGTGTCAATAATGTGCTCGCGGGGGAGGAACCAGTGGGCTACTTCCTCTTCATCCATCACTGGAGCCAGGTGAAACTGCTTCAGGTAAGTGTTGGTTAATTCTCGAACTGATTTGATATCTTTTGGTTCCATCGGTCTCAAACCTGAAGTCTTTGTAACCTTGTTAGAGGAAAAACAAAACAAATCCAGAAGTTGTGTAGAAGAGGAATGAAACTTTGAGCGCTTTGTGCTCAAAGCGTGGTCTGCAGACCAGCAGAATAAGCAGCACGTGGGAGCTTGTTACAGCTGCAGAGCCTGGCCCTGCCCCAGTTCTAATGAATCACAATCTGCAACTCAACGAGATTCCCCTGGGATTTGTACACACATTAAGGTTCGAGAAGAACTGGGTTAAAATACAGGTGAGACAGACAAAGTGTTGTATCTTCTTATCTGTGTGGCAACTCTTTGGTCAGTATTGCCCGTGGCCCAAACAAAATCAAAGGAAACACTACAAATTCATTATGGACTCCAGCGTCAAGAATACACTGATATATACAGCAATGCCAAGAATGTCAATAGCCTACTTGATGGGACATAGCAATCTCAGCATGACTTCTGGAGGACAGGCTGCCCTCCGTATCCATTGGTTGTGCATCTGTGGGTTCAACCAACCTTAGCTGGAAAATATTCAGGACAAAAAGAACTGGAGAGTCGCATCTGTACTGATCACGTACAGACTTTTTTTCTTGTCATTACTTCTTAAAAATGCAGTGTAACAACTACTTACATAGCATCTACATTGTCTTTGGTCTTATAAGTAATCCAGAGATGATCTAAAGTATACAGGACAGTGGGGCGTGGTGGCTCACGTCTGTAATCCAAGCACTTTGGGAGGCTGAGGCCAGTGGATCAACTGAGGTCAGGAGTTTGAAACCAGCCTGGCCAACATGGTGAAACCCTGTTTCTACTAAAAATGTAAAATTGGCCAGGTGCAATGGCTCACTCTTGTAATCCCAGCACTTTGGGAGGCCGAGGAGGGTGGATCACGAGGTCAGGAGATTACGAACACCCTGGCTAACACAGTGAAATACAAAAAATTAGCCAGGCATGGTGGCACGCACCCCTAGTCCCAGCTATTCAGGAGGCTGGGGCAGAAGAATCATTTGAACCCGGGAGACAGAGGTTGCAGTAAGCCAGGATCTCGCCACTGCACTTCAGCTTGGGCGACAGGGTGGGACTCCATCTCAAAAATCAATCAATCAAGGCCTACAGGAGGATGTGTATACATTATATGCAAATACACAAATGCTCTCCCATCTTATATAAGGGACTTGACCACCCACACAGATTCTGGTATCTGAGGCTCCAAGAAGCAAGCTTCATGGTTTCTGAGGGATCATGCTTTAAAACTGCCAAGTCTTACATTTTGAAAACACAACTGAGCGACTTGTTTTATTATTCAATAGCCCATGAAAAGCGTGTGATTTTTTAAATCATATCGGGCTGGATAAGAAGGCAAGCATTTTTAATAGCCAAGTATTTTCTAAAGGCAAAGGGGTTTACAGCCATACCACCCTGAAAGTGCCCATCTTGTCTAACAGCAAATGGCTGCCAGGCAGCCTGGCCTTTCCTGCTGCATCTTCTGGGTAAAGGTGATCAGGGTGGGTGTTTAATCACTACTCCAGAGCGCTACAATTTAAAAATTAAGCCATAGGAATCAAAAGCCTAAAAGTCAGGACAGGTCCCTATTTGAATTCATTCAACTGTTGTCCTCATCAAAGCTCCTGACATCACTTGGCTCTCCAGAACTGTTCAGGGCCAGGACACTGGAGACTAGAAGTCAGGAAGCCCAAAAAACAGACAATTTTGAAACTGAGAAATACAGGTTCACTTTTTTCTGTAAACCTGAATTTCACCCCTACCCGCAGCTTGGAGAAATACTAGATACATTCTAAGAGATGAATAACCTGTAAATAAATATTGCTACTCTCACAAAAAACTTCCTGTAGAATTAGGTCATCACAATCCCTGCATGCCCCCAGGTGGAAGCCCAAGGGGGAAAACAGGGTTTTGTTTTTGAAATCGAGTCTCTTGTCGCCCAGGCTGGAGTGCAATGGTGCAGTCTTGGCTCACTGCAACCTCTGCCTCCTGAGTTCAAGCAATTCTCCTGCCTCAGCCTTCTGAGTAGCTGGGATTACAGGCATGTGCCACCATGCCTGGCTAATTTTGTATTTTTAGTAGAGATGGGGTTTCACCATGTTGGCCAGACTGGTCTCGAATGCCTGACCTCAGGTGATCTGCCTGCCTCAACCTCCCAAAGTGCTGGGGTTACAGGTATAAGCCACCGCACTAAGTCAAGGAAAAAAGATTTTCTCTTGAGTGCCAATTCTCATCAACTATTAGCTGTGCTGAGCTTTCTAAGCTTCAGCGACACACTGTGCTGATTGATTATCGATTAGCGGGGGAAAGGGGAGTGGGAGACGCATGTGCTGTATTTACAGAACAAACAGTTCTCAGCTGAATATTTACTCTGAGCCATTCTATTATGATTTATGTCATCTCTAAAGCACTGCAACTAAAATACCATTTAATAATTTAAATGTAGAGAATTTAAGTCCTTCGCATTGAACAGGCAACTCACACCTTAGTGTTTTGGTAGCTTTCAAAGCCAATGTGTCACATATCCAGGTCTCCACTGGAAATAAATCAAATAAATAAGCACTTCTAAATGTTAGTGGGAGCACCAAAAACATATAAAATATATACTGCAGTCATTTGAAAAATTAGTTTCTGCTATGAGGCAGACTCAGTTTGATAAATTTCAATTAGCCTTTCTCAATATCATAATTTTTTTTCTTTTGTTACTGGTTCAATAACAATATCAAGCAGTTAGATGAAATTAATGAAAGCCACAGGATATGTGATATCTGTTAATAGAGAGCATTCAGAAATAAATTTAAAAATTGCCAACTTCCTTCTAGAGCAAAATATTCTTCTGGAGCACAGATCTCATTCACTGAATATCCAACTGTGAAATCACTAAAGCAGCTGCCCAGCAGGTATCCTTAAAGCAGCAATTCTCAAACGTTTCGGTCTTGGGGCCCTTTTACACTCTTAATCATGACTGAGAACCTCCAAAGAGCTTTGCTTATGTGGGTTATGCATATCCACACTTATCACATTCAAAATCAAAACTGAGGACATTTGGAAATCAAAGACTCAAGACATACGCATGTCACATGGCCTCTGGAAGACTTCAGAGTACCCTCAGAAGAGAATGAAAGTGAAAAAATTAAATATTAGTGTTATCATGAAAATAGTTTTAAAAAATGACTCCATGGATTCAAAGATCTTGGGGGGACTTCCAGAGGTCCCTGGGCCACACTTTGAGAACTGCTATCTTAGGTCTCTAAAGGTCAGAAAAATAAGCCGAATTTAGACAAGGAGTATGGTGTTTAAATTTAGGTAGAAAGTATCATAAGTTTGGCAATGTATGAGCATTTTGGACACATTTTTACAGAAGCATTAAAGCATACAAGCAGACCAGGATGTGTCAGCTATAAAAAATAGAAAGTCCTAGAAAACAGGGTAAGAATATTTACATTTGCTGACTAATGGCTAAAATAATCTGTATAAGAATGAAATAACTTTTGAAAAGCAATGCAAACACTCAAATTATAGCTGTTGTCCTCAGAAAGAAGTAGAAGGCTGTCGGGCTTAGATTAAAATGGCTAGCTTCCATATAATCCAGTAGTGAAGTGGTCATGTTTTCTGTCAGTCCAATAAAACACAGAGAAACATTGGCAGTAACAGAAAAATCTCAGTTTCATAAGCAAACTGTGTATCTGAATCAGGTATCCTTTCCCATGGCCCAACTAATATCCATGATTCACTGGCCTCTATGTAGATTGAAATCTGTGTAAAATCTGCTTATAAGTACATAAGGAAATGAAGCTCAGAGCTCTATTAAAAAACAGTAGTTATCTGTCAAGTATGTGGTGCAAACCGTTTGAGAGCCAAGATTCCAGAGTAGAGATGTAAGCAGTGATTATAGTTATTTACATGATTGAAAAAGGAGGACGTAGAATGCTAACCACTAAAAGAAGCATCTAATGCCACTAAATATAGAACACCTTACACAGCTTGACGCGTCTTAGCAAGCGTGTCCTCCCTGCAGCACAATGCTAAGACCTTAGTGGATCATTCTCGGACTTCTCCTGCTTTTTATTGACATCAATTACCTTGCAGGTTATTGATACAGATGCACAAAATCAAACTTGGAAATACTCAATACCAAATCAAATAAAAAAGCCTTCCCCTGGCCGGGCGCGGTGGCTCAAGCCTGTAATCCCAGCACTTTGGGAGGCCGAGGCGGGTGGATCACGAGGTCAAGAGATCGAGACCATCCTGGTCAACATGGTGAAACCCCGTCTCTACTAAAAATACAAAAAATTAGCTGGGCATGGTGGCGCGTGCCTGTAATCCCAGCTACTCAGGAGGCTGAGGCAGGAGAATTGCCTGAACCCAGGAGGCGGAGGTTGCGGTGAGCCGAGATCGCGCCATTGCACTCCAGCCTGGGTAACAAGAGCGAAACTCCGTCTCAAACAACAACAACAAAAAGCCTTCCCCAAACACTGAAAGGGTGGGGAAGCATGGTAAGACGTGTTTTTTGGGGAAACCTTAGTATTTTAGATAACAGCTGTGAATGGCGCAGGCCCTGCTCTGCTTCTGGCCAGCAGACTCTGAGCAAGTCTATCTTGTGTTCCCATGGCCCCTTCTGTGCTATGCGGATAAAGAGCCACCCTCCTGTGGCTGTTATGATTGTAAATGAGACTACAGCTGTTACCTGTCTAACAAAACACTGGTCACAATAAATGTTAGCGCCTATATTCAAAAGGCCATGAAGGAGACATAACGCTGGCACGGCTATAAGCAAAAGCAGTAATAATGAAGCAGAAAGTGAGACTGATCTATACAGCAAATGATGTATTCCATAAGGTTGCTTTTACGCTGAATGGTACAAAAATGACTGACTGCTAGCAGTGCTATCACCCATCTGGGCCCATCGGAGAGAAAGGGGCATCTTGTAGATACAGTACTTAGCTTCCAAGTTCGTCATATCTGTACTTTCATCTCTCTTCTATTCTATCACTGTACTCACTTTCCTTTCCTTCCCGTGTCTTAAAAGGCAGAAATGAGACGGGGGCAAACCAATGAGACCTGTTTGCACCTTGACAATCGTCTTTTTCTGCCTTGCTTTATGCTGCAGTGTACCCACAGTGAGCCATTTAGTGGGGCTGAGCCATGGTGCCCCCATAGCGGGTCATGTTAGAGGGGATGGCAGAGGCAGAGGGGCCTAACAGGGAAACACGGAAGTCTGGGGCTTGCATCCCAAGCCTTCCACTTAGTGATATTAATACATCCTCGCCCAAGTGCCAACCTTTATGCACCTCAGTTTCTTCATCTGTAAAATGGGGAGAAGCAGCACTAACTTCAAAAGGTTGTTGTGAGAACGAACTGAATAATGTATTTGAAAGCATTTCATAAACTTCAATTACGGGAGGCGGGGCAGGCAGTCCCTACCACAGCATGACCAGAATAGGACGGCTCCTGGGAGCCCAGGAGACCTGGAAGTAAGATGCCAAAGTCTGGTTTCATAATCAGTGCCTACACCCATGAGAAGATTGATTCTTATACAAAAATACTAAGGCTGATTAACGGAGTCAAGTCAATTTTAGCACCTTAGAAAATAATCGTTTAGTAAACCAATGACAGCTGCTAAAACTCCGTATTCTTCACTCCGTCGTAGGCAGCCTGCATGTAAGTGTGTGTTTTCCTTGTGCATAAGCTAGGCTGCTTGAGGTTCAAGAAACTGAAATTGAGAGAGACCAAAGCGGAATAGCATTTGCCCACAGTGAAAAAAGTAGGCATGCTGGGAGTGTTTGTTTCAATTTACATGTGGCAACACTTCAAACAAAAGATCCCATCGGTGGCGCATAGATTCTAAGATGGCCCCCAGTGATCCCACCTCCTGGGGCTCAAGCTGATGTCATCTGCTCCTGTTACGTGTGGGCAGGACCTGTGATTTAGTTCTAACCAATACAAATGGCAATGGCAGCCGAGTGCAGTGACTCACGCCTGTAATCCCAACACTTTGGGAGGCCGAAGCAGGTGGATAACCTGAGGTCAGGCGTTTGAGACCAGCCTGACCAACATGGTGAAACCCTGTCTCTACAAAAATTAGCCAGGTGTGGTAGCGCATGCCTGTAATCCCAGCTACCCGGGAGGCTGAGGCAGGAGAATCACTTGAACCCGGGAGGCAGAGGTTGCAGTGAGCCGAGATGGTGCCACTGCACTCCAGCCTGGACAACAGAGAGAGACTCTCTCTCAAAAAAAAAAAAAAGAAAAGAAAAGAAAAGAAAGAAATGGCAATCACTACTGGATGTCACTTTCATGAATCAACTGCATAAGGTTCTGACTTCCATCCTGCCAGCAGATTCTCTCTCTAGACTTTCTCTCTCACTGGCTTTGATGAACAAGCTGCCATGCTGTGAGCTGCCCTGTGGAGAAGCCCACGTGGCAAAGAACTGAGGCCCTTGGTCCAACAGCCAGTGAGTGGCTCACTCCTGCCAACCACAGGAGCCTGGAAATGGATCTGTCCCTAGTCAAGGTTCAGATGAGACCCCCACCCTGGCTGACACCTGGTGGTGGCTTTAGGAAAGACCCGGAATGAAGCACAGGACTCAGCTCAGCTGCGACCAGATTTCCAGCCCACAGACGCTATGTGATAATAAAAATGTTGTTTTAGGCAGCTCGGGTGATGTTCATTCTTCACATGGCTATAGATAACTAATACACCAGTCAAGCACCAAATAAAGCCAAGTCTGGAAAGCACATTTATATTTTTTCCTATTAAGAATAACTCTTCGTCTGGGCACGGTGGCTCATACCTATAATCCCAACACTTTGGGAGGCTGAAGCAGGCGGTTCACTTGAGGTCAGGAGTTTGAGACCAGCCTGGCCAACATGGTGAAACCCCATCTGTATTAAAAATACAAAAATGGCCGGGCGCGGTAGCTCAAGCCTGTAATCCCAGCACTTTGGGAGGCCGAGGTGGGTGGATCACGAGGTCAAGAGATCGAGACCATCCTGGTCAACATGGTGAAACCCTGTCTCTACTAAAACTACAAAAAATTAGCTGGGCATGGTGGCGCGTGCCTGTAATCCCAGCTACTCAGGAGGCTGAGGCAGGAGAATTGCCTGAACCCAGGAGGCGGAGGTTG